ATTGGTTTTTCATTAATTTAACTCGGATAGAGAAATGTGTCACTTATTCAGCAGAGAAATGAAATATCTGGAGTTACCCTCGTTGCTTACCAGTCAAATTCATTGATATTTTTATAGAAGAAATAAAAAAGTAGGATATGATTTTACCAAACTACCGTTGGACAGTGGTTATTTAGTTGTCGTTTGAAGAAGAATAGGAGGACTCTTGTGATAGTTATGTTGGAAATCAAAGTGACTTATTTTTTTTTAAAGTCTTAGAGCTAGTAAATTGTTTGAACTTTCACTGGCCTTCAGTAGCAGTAAAACCTCAAGGAAACTGATAAATCGTTTGCCATGTTATACACAGTTAATATCGCTTACTATTGTGTTGTAGATTTTATTAGGAAATATAACATAATTATGATAAGATCTTTCTACTTTTAGCTGGTGTAATGTTATTCTACGTAACTAGCGATTTAAGTCAATAAAAATGATTGAAACAATATTTATTTTTCCTGAAGACGTCCTCAGAGATCCTAATAATTATCTAAACGAGTTTTCAACCAGATATTTCTGTATATGAACATAACACGTCCAACCCTAATACAACTCAAGTTTGAAAGGTGTGAGATCATAAGTCCCGTTGATTGCATTTGTTAAAACACTTGTAATATTCCATTGAAATCATGAACTGGTTGATGTTAGACCATCATTTAAACCTGAAAGAAATCGACGATCGATTTGCCCGAGTATGGGACTCATCAATAGGACGCATCCACGATCTTGCACTCTGTCTTCGAACACTTGACCCTGAGGTCACTGGACCGGCATCCAACGATGCTAATACCTAACTTCAATCAATCCACGATATTGCGTAGCCAGCTCGCATTCATCCAGTGCTTCTAAGTTTTCGATGGTGATTTAAAATTGACCGGTTCATAATCCTAATGAAACTCAACCATCTCCACAATCATGTACTAATAACTGTAATATACTTGATATGTTGAAAACTATTGACTTCTGAATATAATTACGTGTAGTCTGTATATAGCCGGACACAAATGTGCATCGGCTCAAGTTTCCACATCACATCATTACGACGAAGTGAAAGTAACAAGATGAATGGCAAAAGATTTAAAATAATAGTTAGGAGGGCCGATCATCACTTGTAATTTTAGTAGCAAGAATATCTCATCTAATATATGCTAAACTTATCATATTTCCATATAAAATCCTTATTGATTTATCTATAGTTTTAAATATTGTTTCCGAATTATAGTCTATTGAAATATTTTTTTACTGAACTATAATTCATATTACTTATTAATTTCTCTTTCAACAGGGCTATAATATGTGGCATACTATGGATAAATGGTACAATTTAGGATTTCTCAGTCATATTGTAGCCTTTGCAAATTTCTTATTTTATTTATATTTATAAATAAATATTCAATCAGCTATGTATTTGTTTGTAAAGAATAAAACATTTATCCATAACAATTAAATATATGCAAAATATATTTTCTTATAGCTCACTCAGCATGAAATGAAAGTTTATTTTGCTTTCAAATATAAACAACAAAGAAAGGTAATATTAACACTGTTGATGAGTTTTGTACATGTACATGATCTCTAATGAAGTTAGGTTTTTTAAATCACATAAATTTCTTTCTCTCTGACATTAGTTTAATTAGAGAATTGTTATTTAAATAATGTTCTCAAACCATGACTACTATTTGCTTGGTTTTATTATTGCTCAGGGATGTTTTATCGGCTAATCTAAATGGAATCATGTTCATGGGAATCAAATAATATCTTCTAATATAACAATTATGAATTCAGGAAACTAATTTTGGAAAAAAACTCTGAATAACCTTCCTAAAATAAGTTTGGAAGTTCAAGCATAATTTCATTATCTCAAGAGAATCTCATTCAGATTATCCAAACAGTATCTATACCACCTATTAGTTTCAGTGTGTAGAAGGTTTAAACATCTACCGCTTGCTAGATCATAAAAGTTTACTAATCTTCGATTCCGAACCGAAAGTTTGAAATGTGGTAGAGGCTTTATCTTTAAACTTAGTTTGCATACATAATGTAGGGGTATATATAAGGTTAGATGTGATCTTGAGACTCTAGGCATCTCTAATAAATAATAGCGAACTCAGAAACTGAGCAATTAGGTTAGTAAAAACAGGATCAGTCATCTTCTAGATTTCTCTTAAAAGTTTATAAAAACCACTTCTTAGTCAAAATATTTTTATCGCTTGCCTGACTATTAGAGACAGTTTCGAGGAATTATCAAGGTCTCCTAACACGTTTATCAAATTTTTCGGTTAACTTTATCATTATCTATTAGCAATATGAATCCTGCTTTGTCCATTTCAATTTGGAAAATTCTTTAGCTACAGTAGCCTTTACACACTAGTTCAGTCGAAAGGATTTATATGTGGCTATCTGGTACATTTGCGAAGAGAATAACTAGATATCTTAAATCACAACAAGAGAACTTACTATTTGTTAACATTGGATAACTAAGTAGTACTTCTATTTTTTTAATGATTTGTAGTATTGTTTTAACTTAAAATGTCATACATTACTCGAAGTCATTAGCTCAATTATCTAGGAATATCGAACATCCTATAGCATTCCATAATGGTTCTCTACATTTATATGTCAAGTTCATTGAATAGTCTGGCGTAATTTCAAATTATTTATCTTTTGCTTTACAAAACTTACGCCTTGAACATAGTGATATCAAGTAAAACAATAGGCATCACAATTGTAGGGAAATATAAATTGTTCTTAAATAAGTTGCACTTATATATTCTCCATTTTAGTTCATGTTATACGATATTTCTATCTTTGATATGACAAAATTTCATTCCATAGTAATTTTGAAAGCGGTCTCTCAGCTACACTAAATCCGTGATGATATAAATAAAATTTTAAAGGCTTTCTTCCGTTTTCATTTGTTTTTCTTTTTCTGACCACTAAATGTCATTAGTTCGAGATGTCCTTCGGAGAGTTACTTTCAATCAAATCGTATTTTAATTAACATTTTGATCCAAATGTAATCTTATCTAACAGTATCATTGGCAAACTAAATTCGGGAAATCCATTTAACCTAGAGAAAGCTGTTCATTCTTAGTTAATTAGTCAAAATCCTTTCTTTGATTGTAAAGGTAAAACTCTCACTAACTAATAATTCCATTTAACGATAAAACTATTTTATGCTCTCATATATATGCAAAGATACGCTAAACGCTTACTCGTTAAGGTGTAATTACGTCGAAGATTAGTTGGTTTTTTTTCGTCGACAATTTTTCTTAAATTATTCAGAGTACCTACATTGCACTGGGTAGTATACAATGCTGTATCACAAGTTAAAGTTGAGGTAAATTTAAATATGATCATTAAATCACTATCTAAAATGCCATCTAAGCAACCAAGTCATTAGTGTTCAGTTAAACAACTTACGATCAAATGATGTTTAAAAAACTGCTTACAACTCTATTGTGATTCCGAACAGGAATATTTCTAAACTTTTACCAATGGATTTCCGAAACTATTATAGGTTGATTTTCTTATTGGAGAACTGATAGAAAACCTTGACAAACTAACAAAATACATGATATTTTAACAGCTAATTTTTCATATCATAATATTGATTCAAGCGTAAAGCAAATACTATTCTAAATAGCATCAAATTCAGATTCCTTAAAAAATCTATGTTCAGATTATTTCACTAAACAGTTTTACATACCAAAATGGTCTACGCAAAAATGGAAATAAAATACTTGAGTAAACCGGTCTGCGATCTGAGAGCTTACAGTGTTATAACATTCATCGACTTAGTTAATAATTCATCAAAAACTGTTTGTTTGCTTTTTTTAGTATGTTTAGATACGTCAAAATTTTCGTAATACATACTAATAAAGTAATTCACATTTGTTAATAGAAACAATTGACTGTCAAATTCGTACTTCATAAGAGTTTGTTGATGTTTGGCTTCTAAAAGAAAAAAAGTGTTATCAGTGAGTTTTCATTAGCCGTAGTGTTTCTTTTTTACGTATAAACTTGCTCTAGCTTAGATCAACTGTGAAAAGTCTACAATCTCCACGAATCCCCATACTAATAATAATCATATGCTCTTTTGTGACTAACTTTAAGATGGAACTCCTGGAGTTCTAGTGAGAAGCCGTGACCACTCCAATCCGTGTCGGGTGTGAAACAGTTATTCACCTCAGACAATAGATAAAGAGTTGCACAAGATCATGGGCCGATTGAAGTGTGACATGAACATCGTTGGTTGCCGGCTCAGTGGTCTAAGGGTTGAGGGTTTGCACGTGAGACCGGAGGTCCTGGATTCGAGTTCCGCATGCAGGATCGTGGATATGAACTTATGAGGAGCCCTACACTAGAACTAAACGTCCGTTCAGTGGTGGTCTAGCGTTGATCGACTTATAAATTAAACTGTAAAAATACCATAAATCCCCATACTGTTATAAATATTTGTTCATTACAATACTCGTAAGTGAAGTGAGGATCCTATTCACATTCTTTAGGACATTATACAACAAAGTATGACCTTTTCTAAGTCTGTTTTAAAAGCATTAAGATGAGGGAAATACAGAATAACATGTCCAATCCGATGTAACACAAGTTTGTTCATTGTAAACTATTTTACCCGCAACTTTCGGATATGACGTCAGTTGGTCTAAGCTCATATCCAGTCCCCTAGGGCCAATACACATTGGCAGACCGGTTGAATTGCAAGCAACAGAACGAACTATGAAAAAGATTCCGAGCCGATATATCTCCTCTCACTGTCATATCCCAACACTTCACTATCAAGTCTGTGGTCTGACTGAGACCGTGGTCAGGTAAACCCTCCAGTCAACCTCTCGGTCGACTTGAACGAGTAAAAGCAGACCTTAATTGGCTCCCTTGGCTAGAAATTTTGGATTCGCCAAGTGAATGTGAATCACCTACTTCATGAATCCACTCCAGAAATGGACCCGTATTTCATAGATAATCACTAACCTTTCCCAATAAAGTTGTTCTCCAACTTCACCCTTCGATTAACCAAATAAGCCCTGGACGGTGCAAGAAATCCGTCACGGGTAGGTATGCCTCTACCTGTAAGACTATACTTAACCAGTCCTCATGAACAAGGAGGTTCCGGACGACTACAGCAAGGGGACTGGGCACACTGAGCCCCCCTTTGAAAGACGGCCAGAGCTAATCGCATATAAACAGAACAAGAAAAGATAATATCACTCACTCATTCCAGCCGATGGCGGAACCCTGACGTGCACCATCATCTGCGCTACTGGAGACTTACACCAGCAATACATAGCACTCCGTCGAAACTTAACCGCAGCCCAACATTGCTGGCAGAAACCACGAGGAGGCAGTCGCCAAACAACCGTAACCCACAAAAGGCTCACAACGAACCTTAAGAGAATCATAGTTTCTAAATGCCTTTTATTCCTATTTTCAAGTTATTGTAAACTCTTCACAACCTGTATAATTATCACACATTGTATATTGGCTGTTTTCAGACTTCCCTTAATTACTACCTCACCCACCTTTCCCTATGTTTTTGAACTCTATTCCCAAATGACCTCACACCTGTTCGTACACATATAAATCTATAAATAATTATTATTATTAATGCTTGTAATTCTGATTCTTTCCGTTATCAATTTCAATTTCACATTATATCATACCTCAGTGATTCATTTTAATACATATATGGTTGAAAGCGGCTGATGAGAAGCTATGAAATAGTGAATTCATATCATTCTGCCTCTACTATCTTTTGACTTTATTCGAAAAAATAACAAATTATGGAATTACCTTGCAATTTTTGAATTAATAATTGGTAAATTTGTAACACTTCTCCAGGTACTTGAAGTTGATAACAATGATGAGACCTTATTGTCCGATTTATTTCGAGCCATACCTAAACGTATTACTTTTCTATAGGAAGGATTCTGTTGTTTTTTTGCTGTTTTGAATGAATCTGAAGATATATTTGGTAGACTCTTTTTAATAATCACATTAGTTGAACCCCGTAACTAAATATTATTCAAAAGTAAACGGATATAGAGAGATTTATTTATGTAAAATTTATGGTTTAGGAGAGGCATATTTTGTTCATCTCTGATTACGTCATAGCAGAAAAATTTTCCTGAACACGTGGAACACAATAATTCAAATTCGACCTCTCTAGTGAAAACGAGATATTAAACCAATAAGAACTTATCAACACATAATATAGAGTGGAATCACTGAAGTAAAATTGGAGAGAATTCAACAGCTTTAAATAGCCTCGTATATTCAGTATAGCTGCGTACATCCACTTTTAACATTGATCAATCACAGGTCACGTTGAACAGACATACCACAGTATGATTGAAATATCTTAAACCGAATGGAAATGTCCCATCCAACTTATCGATTTATTACTGTATGGGGATTATTGAATTTTACTGTTTGCATCACGGACTAGATTTAATCAGATGGTAGTAGCCTACCAGTGACAGTGGAAGATAGTTTTGTGAAGTTGGATGTTTTCACTCAGATGTTGGTTCAGTGGTCTAAAGGTTAAACGTCCACTGCGAGACTTGGAGGTTCCTAGTTAGATCTGCAAAGGGATCACGGATACACTCCATTATAGAGTCCCATATTAGAGTGAACTAGCTGTCTGACGCCTTCTGCTATTTAATGATTATCCAACCAACAAAGTCCACCAATTAACTTAGTAATATAATCCAAACATAATTTTCATTATATAGAATTATCTGATGAAGAATCAGAGTAGTCAAGAAGCACTGAACAAGTGTTTTGTTCAGCGTTATGATTTATCACTCCAAGATAGCTCCTGATATCTGAGCAAACTCGGGAGTTTGAGATTTCGCTGCTATCTTGGTGACTCTAAATAAATTATTCACACCGTTTCAGAGTAGTAAAGAACATATACATTAAAAGTTACTACATTTGCGATGACCTTAGAAACTGAATGAATGTTTGGAAGTAGTGCATAACTAGCTGTACAACGACGAATAGTTAACAGAAACTTTGCTTAAAATTCATATATTTTCTGTTATTCATTTTCAAGAAGTGTGTAAAATAGTGATGAATATCTGCAATACGGATACATAAATAAAGAATATTCTTTTTAAAAATTCCTCTTCAAGTTCTCCAGTTGTATGCTGAACTTGGTAATCAAAAGAAATTGTCTACTCTGATGGAAACACTTTACTAATTTCAGATTATAACTTCATGATTACCGTTAGAAAAAGTGTGTCTCTGTGAATACTGAAGTGATTAGCGTCCAGCATATACCTTAAACAGATTTTAAAAACGCGAAACTGTGGAAATATCAGATGAGGTTATTGTAGATGATTGGTGGCCTAACTAAAAATTGATCTTTTTCAGTATCATTTCTTGCCTTTCACATAGTGGATCATTACCTCCTATTTGAATACAAAACGTTGTATGTTTAGTTTTTTTCATATAATCCATATTAATGGTCCTTCCACTTATTTCCTATTCATCCCTTTAATTTCACTATGATGTGGCAACATCCATCGATGTACGTATACTTGGGACTTATATTAATTATAACTGATATTTGGGGTAGAAATCAGGAAGTTGTCCTTTAAGCTGCAGATAACCCTCTTAAGACGGAGATATTTCCACTACTTAATTAATTTCATGCTATCCAATACACATTACTTCGATTTATATAACTCCTGTAACATTAATCTGATGAGCGTAGTCATCCAACCAACTATAGACGAAATTTCCTCTTTTTTCTATATTATTACAGGTTTTTTATCAAAAGGTCCTAGAGGTTATGAAAGTTTTATAATATAAGTGCTTAATTCCTAAAATTATGTCTGAATGAGTCCCAAAAGTAATGCGTGTTCATTTACTAAGGTTTAATCTGTTATGAACAGAAGTTCTACCCACCTCTCTAAACCAAACTCACTGGCACATGAATAAATTAATTACTAATCCACGTTGTGAGTATTTGTCGTCAACGTTAGTCGGTTATAATTAATGCTTTTGAAGAGAATTGATAGCATAAACTTTTATGATCAAAATATTATTTAAAAGCATTCAGAACTTCTGCAATCATTATGAAACTCACAAATCGTGAATAGTGATCCAAAATGTTGTTTATATCTTTTTTAGTATGCCCTTTGTTAAATGGGATAAGGATACCCTACAATGTAGAAATATATACCATGTTATTCTGCTTATTTAATAAAGTTTGACTTACCTTCCATTGGATTTTCTCCAGCATATACGGTCGATGTGAGATAGGTAGACCAATTTTCACTCTTAATAATTTATGATGATGACCATGATATGCTTCAGTGTAATTATTTATTAGTAAAGATAAACTCTAAAAACGAGCATGAGAAATCAATTTGCGGTTATTAAAAACAGTTTATAAAAATGTGACAACTTTTATTACTGGGAAGTTAAGCGGTTTATACATCAGATCTTCTCGTCGACTCAACCCCAATGCACCAAATAAACCACTGGAGTATATTCCAAGCACGACGTGTCTAAATATTTTACCATTGAATTCAGAAACGAAGGATATTGTAAAACGTTTTAGGTATTCTTGACCTTGTGTGAGAAAACTTGAAAATAAACATAAAAGTACGTAAAAATCGTTATGTACACAAAAACACATTCACTTACATGGCTAATATGGTTGCCTCTAGACATTTTATAGGGAGTGAAGCCAGCATTATCATTTTTACAACTTCCTCAAGTCTATACAGTCAAAATAACGAACATACATTCAAATAATTTATAGCAGGTTCGGTCAAACGGATTTACCTAACGATAGATGCACCTCGATTTATTTGGAAGAACTGCATTCCAGTATAATTGTATCTATATTTTTGAACAAACAAACAGCTTGCCATAAGAATAAACAACAACATAGGTTCATGTGAATAAACAGAAATTTATGACACAAGTTGCAAGAGTATGACATGTTCACTTCTAAACTTTTGATTAGTATATACTAAATACGCCATGTGAAGTCAGTTTTGTTCACAAACCAATACTGTGTACACACGAAAATCATAAAAATCTTACGTCGATTAGATAATTCTATCTCTACATCCTGATTTCAAGTTGAGGAAGTGTTAGGTATGCACAGGAATATGCCAATAATTGTCGTGTCAAGTCAAATGATGTCCTTGGACGTTAAATTTATATTTCCTATTGGTCGATATTTGCTTCACTTGTTTAATATTGTGTAAATGTTGTTTTCTATTTTTACGGTACGATGTGGTCTGCTTGGTTAGTATATAAACAGAGTGTGTTTGAAATATAATGATTCATATCTCAGAGGCTATGACTTGCGTTCTGGACTCAACTGACTAGGCTAGACAGCGAAGCAGGGCCAATCGGGACTCTAGGTCGTTCGCACGTGTTTACGTGTCACAGAATCGATCGATATAAACGCTGCTTATCAAACCTGCAGTCATTCGTTACAACGGGAAGTAGCTCATTGTAAATGCAAGCATTTTGCTAAACATAAAATATCTGTAAAAAATAGAGGTACATATTCCCATACATGTCATTTAGCAATGATTAAGTCTGTTAAAAAGAAACAGTTCTTACTAAACTTGTTTGACAAGACCAAACATAACAGGAGTTTAGACGATTATAATTAACCTTGTATCTCTCGATCCAAATTTACGTTCAACCTTTTGCACATACCATGAAAAGTATTGAATATAAGAGTGAGGAGTTAATACTATGCTTAATAAGGACGTGAAATAGTATCAGTATATTCTGAAAGTATGTCCAGTAAAACAGCTCAAAATCATTATCACCCTCAGAAAACCTGGGTATTTGAATTATATACCATTTTTAAATGTACCATATCGACAAAACATATATTAATATCATGAAATCTAAATGAAAAGTGAATCATAATCAACTTAAGCCCTGGCACAAATGGAAGTAAGAATCTGTTCCAAAACCAGCTCAATACAATATCAGTGACGAAGAATTAAAAATGATTGTGGCAGGACAGATAAAAAGATGAATAGATCAAGAATATAGTTTGAGAAAAAGAGAAGACGTGCATGCGTGGTGGAATATCTGAGCTAAAGATCTAGAAGATTAATAGCTAATAAGAAATACTTTAAAGGTTATTGTGCAAACGACAAAGACTTACTAGAGTGACGAACTACTTATGGGAACTTTACTGGTGTCTATTCACCACAAAAATGTTTGTGCTAACTATGTACAAACATACGAATGGATGGATATATTCATCCATCTTACATAAGAACCTTGAAATAATAACTACAATATCAAGCTGAAGAGGGTAAAACACAATCAAGGTACTGAAATCTCGAGGTTCAACCAAACTATTACATATTCGTTTAAGCAAGGAGAATATCAAAATAATACTCATTTAAAAACATATCAAAATAGAATGAAATAGTTAAAACATCGTACTCAAGACTGTTTAGGTAATTTTGTACTTTACTTAAAAACGTTTCGGCTGTTTCAATTTTATCAATCCTGAATCCAGGAAGCTTCGTAAACATTATGAAGATATGAATAATTTACAGGCATTTTGGATATAACGTGATCTTGAAAAGATTCATATAGATCGATGATCTGCTTTTTACAGTCGCTGTTTTGTTTTAAACAGAAATCGAACATTGATTTCCAAGTTTCTGCCTTAATAGGAAACCCAGTCCTATTTGTAAGGGAAGGGACATACATTTTGAAAATGTTGTTCTTTCATCACCATGATTTTAATGACTCAAACAAAGTGACATGTTTATTTTTATTCATAGAATTATTGTTTACCAGAGAATGCGAAAAGAATGGTTCACAGATATATATATATATATACTGCAAATGGATTTATTGTGTAAGGGAGTTTAAATTGTCAATGGAAATAAAACCTGCTAAGGTTGGATAATGAATTGTTTTTTCATTCAAATAACTTTGTGACAAGCCAGTGTAAACCGATTGATTTATCTACGTTCGCTTATTTGCGTTGTGGCCAAACTTTAATACGTTATTAGTGTCTAGCAAGGTTGGTCTAATCAACAGATTTTAATAGTACTTTTGCATTCGACGATTTACTGAGTTGCCTTAGTTTAGTGTCTTATCGTGCTAATATTGAAAAAGTGTGGTTGCTGGAACCAATGAAACCCCATTAGTCGGCAAAAAGCTGTCTGATCTTGGTTATAATCAAGATAAACTAATTAATCAATTAAATATATAAATAAAATTTATGAAACATAAATAAGTGGAGGTGGCAATCTACAAAGTGAGAGGTATGTGTTATCAATCACAATAATATATGCAAAAATTTGTGATGATAAAAGCAATGAGAATACTTATTAAAACCGCCAGAAGTGCAGTAGGGTGAACGATCATTTCTAAGAGATTAAAGATGTGTGACTGAGCGCTTCCAGCTAGGTGAGTCCAGTAAAATGAATTGGGTCAGTATCAAAGCCGAGAGCCTTCGGAACTATTTATTTTTGAGGTTTATCTACCACTACCTGATGTCCCGTGATAATCGGAAAGTGGAGAGGTTCAAAACTGTTTGCCAATTAGCGTTCGTACGTTAGGGACCTCCAGTATGTATGAACTCTACCCTGGTGCAAATCGTCTGTCTGACTCTGACTTTGAAGAATCCACATTGGACTTCACCAAGTGTTATTTTTGTCCATGTTCTCCCCTTGTGGTGATTCTACTCTTATAATAGCCTGTGACAGTTTAATGAGTGCCTTAACAGTTTGTTTTCTGGAGTGCAGATAATTTCTACATAATGCTTCTGTGCTATAAGGTGGATGTTATTACAGTCTAGTAGTACTATGTTCCTGTTGTATAAGTGCTCGGTTGAGTTGTTTGTGCACCAACTATCTCTACCGTTTCTAAACTCATAAGACTATAATTAGTCTCTTTAGTAGAAAAACCTAAATAGTATGTCAGGTTCATCTTTGAAACCCGGAATCCACATGACGCTCCGTATTTAAGGCTGTACATTTCGGTTTTAATGCGACAATTGTGTTTTTATGAGATATCATTTTGTTGTCCTACATCAACAGCAAATCTCTCGTCATTACGCATAAGTTCACCCGGGTAAGCACATTTACTGCAACTTTTGTGACAGTAATCATGCTTGTAAATTAGCACGCCCCACGTAACTTATGGTTTTTGGGAAGAAATTGTTCTTATTATTTCTGAGCGATTGGTCAAAACACAAAGTATTTGATCAACTTCCATTCATATCTTGTGTCAGACTATCATAGGTAGACATGGACTGGGAGAAGGCAAACCTGTTGACTGTATGACCTACTGCTCATGCCTGTTAACCATCGTAGAGATGCATACGCCATCAACCAAACTTCTAGACGAGCTCTGTCCTCGGGAATCTTTTCCAGCCCTTCCCAGTTGCCATTCGCCCTTTCATGTCTTTTCCGATCACCGATGGAATATGTTTCTTGTTCTTCCTCTTTTCTGTTTCTCTTCAGGATTTCAAGTTAGTGCTTGACTCGTGTTGCAGTTTGCTGATTTTCGAAATGTATTACAGTATACTTCCAACGTCTTTTACTTATTTCCTCTTCAGATAAAAGCTGATTCATCCAACACCAAATTAGGCTGTTGCAATGTAGTCCGTCGTAAGGATTCCGTAGTCAGTCGTATGAGTTCCAAATGATATTGAAGATCTCAGGTTCACTATAGTATCGAAAGAGGTTCCATAATGTCTTCCTATTCACATTGTCAAGCGTTTTCACACAGACAAAGGAGTTAGTGTACAGTGACGAAGTCCATTCAATTGATTGTTCAACGATAATCCGTAGTGTCGCTATTTTTGGTCTTTGCACGACCGCTCCTTACGGAATCCAGCCTGCTGATCTCGAAGTTTGGCGTCTACTGAATCTTTCATCCGGTTCAGCAACACTCTATTGAAAACGTTTCCCGGTGCCGATAGTAGTATGATGCCTGTGTAGTTCTCACACATTTTAGATCTCCTTTCTTTGGTATCTTGATGAGATATCCTTCTTTGCAGTCTGTTAGCGGCACTTATTCCTCCTCACAAATCTTTCTGAATAAAACGTGGAGCATGATTGCAGTTACTTCTATGTCTGATTTCAGTGCTTGGTATATTATCAGTTCCTGTTGATTTCCCACTCTTGAGTAGTTTGATCGCTATCCTGATTTTTGGGATCGTTGGTAAAGTGACAGCTATAGGGAAATCTGCAGGTGCTACTTCGATGTTCTGGTTCTCACGTCTTCCATTGATCTCCTGAATATTTTAGTGATACTTATATGATCAATCTGGTCCTTTGTATTGTGGTCCGGTGAGATTTACATAGTTTTGTGTGTGCTTTTGTGCGGAAATGTTGTGCCACCTATAACCAATCTGTTGAATGCACATAGATTTGCAAATCTTTCCCCATTTTCGTTTCTTTCTCCCAATTCATGTAGTTTCATGATACCGTCATACCCGATGTAGTCCGTTCCGACCTGGTTGTTTAGGTCTCACATCAGGATGGTTAAGTCGTTTCCTCAGCACTTCACTATTATATACTTCAGCCTCTCGTAAAACTGATCGTTATTGTCTTCATTGCTATCATAGCATTCGTGTTGATTCCCTCGTTCATTGTATCAAAAGATGCTTTGACGATTCAGGGTCCATCAGATTTACGTTCTTCTCTGAACGTCATCAGAGGATCTCCCTGAATGCGTGGAGCATTTTCCTCTTCGTGATCGGAGCACAGTAGCATCTCTCCCGTACATAAATTTTGCTATCCAGAATTAATCCAATCAATTTCACAGATTCTGAAAAACACCAATATGTATCTCATTCCCGTAGCTATTTCATTGGCCCTATTGATCATTCACGCCGTCCAGACGTTTCATGTACCTATATTAACTGTTGCCATGGTCGTTAGATGGGGCATGGGCCCCATGACTACCGAAAAATCTTGTCTTGCACCCCGAGGTATCATAAACCTTCTGAAAGAAAATCCTTCAACTTGGAGTACACAGTTGAAATGATGTAATCTATTTCTTCTAGCTGTCGATTTTTTGACAAGATTTTTTTCTATGGATTGGGTTTACTTACTTCATCCCTAACACTCCTACTTTGTCCGGACCTGGGACGGACAGAAACACCAAGAGAGCTGTGAGAAGAGTTGGTATAACCGAAGGCGTCACTAATATCCATTCACACAGCAGACTGGATGGGATTCGCCTAATCGCTAGGGCTAAAGAGATTCTATGTAATTGCGCAAACATCCATCATTTGGGATGCTAATTTGCTGGCAGATTAACGAGTAAGGTTTCATGTCAAAAGATATCTGCTATAAGAGAAAAGAACTGTGGTGATATTTAACTTCAAAATCGTGAATGGTTCTTGATTTCAAGACGCATCGGAATAAAGAATGGTTCCCTATATATTACCTACACAACAATCGAGAATCGAAGAACAAAGAGACATTGGTTCAACAACTTGAGCTGTTTGGTTGACATTTGACTGAAAATATCTTAGTAATGTCAGACCATCATGCAGCAGTAAATGTAGAGGTATTTTATATCCACTTGAGGAGGCATTTTGAAGAGGAAAAAAGTAGCAGCAGATCATGATATTTGAGGAAGATATTATTGAACGTGGGAGCTACAGGGGCATCTCACGACTATCAGTGTAAGGTAATGATATCAACAGCGTTGCTCAATGGAATGAAAGATTCAGTAAGTGTATGGTGGTATTGGTCCCAACCACACAATCCTCAAATTCGAACATGCTTACTTACTTACGCCTGTTTCTCCCAATGGAGCATAGGCCGCCGACCAGCATTCTCTAACCCACTCTGTCCTGGGTCTTCCCTTCCAATTATATCCAATTTTCGTTCATTTTCCTCATGTCTGTCTCCATTTCTCGACGTTATGTGTTCTTTGGTCTTCCTCTTTGCCTTTGGCCTTGAGGGCTTGCCTTGTGACGCAGTTGGGTGTTTCCTCATTGTGTGTCTTATCCACTTCCAGCGCTTCTTCCTGATTTCCTTCTCTGCTATGATCTGGTTTGTTCTCCTATAGTAGGTTGTTGTTGATAGTGTCCGGCCAACGGATCTGAAGTATTTTACGTAGACAGCTGTTAATAAATAGTTGTATCTTTTGAATGATAGCTTTCGTAGTTTTCCAAGTTTCTGCCCCATACAGTAGAACTGTCTTGACATTTGTATTGAAAATCCTGACCTTGATGTTGGTTGACAGTTGTTTTCAGTTCCAGATGTTCTTCAGTTGTAAATATGCTGCCCTGCCGATCTGTGTATTCACGTCTGCATCAGATCCACCGTGTTCATTAATGATGCTGCCCAGATATGTAAAGGTTTTTACATCTTTCAAATCTCCGTCAAGTGTGACTTAGTTGTTGCATGCTGTGTTGTATTGGAGAATCTTGCTTTTCTCTTTGTGTATGTTGAGATCTACTGCTGCTGCACTGGTCGTCTTCTGAATTTTTTGTTCCGTGTGCGATAAAAGGGCCAGATCATCTGCGAAGTCTAGGTCGTCTAGCTGCTTTCTAGCTGTCCACTGTATCCCATGCTTCCCTTCAGATATTGACATCTTCATGATCCGGTCGATCACCAGGTGAAGAGTGAGAGTAAGCAGCCTAGCCTGACACCGGTCTTTATTTCGAACGACTTCGTCAACTGTCCTCCATGAACGATTTCGCAGTTTAATCCATCATATGAATCCTGTATGATATTGACTATCTTCTGAGGCACGCTGTAGTGTCGAAGAAGCTTCCATAGTGTTGTCCTGTCCACGCTGTCAAATGTTATGTCATACAGTTGTCTCATGTTTCCTTCTCTTGCAGCCTTTTCCACTGTCATTGCTAAATCCTCCACATATTTACGTTTATCGGTTCTGGTGCTGCTCTTCACTTGCTTGTTTGCTTCTGTGTATTCAGCTTGTGCCTTGGCTTTTTCTCCTCATGTTCGGTTGGTATTGAATGCCGCATTCTTGTTCCTCTTTTCTTGAATCTTATCCAGTGTATCAACAGTGATCCATTCCTTGTGATGGTGCTTCTTGTGGCCCAGGACGTCATGACATGTCGGAATGATTGCTTCTTTGATCCCATTCCAGTTTCTCTCCACATCTAGTCGTTGTTGTCCAACTTGCGTCCAATGTGTTTCACTGATCACAAGTACCTCTAGGTTGTATCTCCTCATTTCTGCTGTAATTTGGAAGGCTCTTCCGGTGTCCCACATTGTACGAACATTCCATGTACCTAAATAAATGGTTGCTCTGATTGTCAGAAAGAGCATCGACCTCGTGACATCTGAAGGAGTTCGGCTTTCATCATGAGTCATCATAGCCCTTCTAAATGAAGACCTGACTGCCAGAGCAGAGTTTAAGCGGCTCGAATAATTTCTACTGGTTGGCGTTTTTTAGCGAGTTAGTTTTCTACGGGATGAGGACGCTAACCCCATGCCCAACCCTCCTCCTTTATCCGGGCTTGGGACCGGCAGTAGCCCCTGGAGGGACTCCAGGCGGAGTTAGATCTGAACACGAGGAAACTGGAAATACATATATTCATTAGTCAACTTGGAGATAAGACCAACAAAGGAGAAATTGGGAATAGGTAATTGATTTCGATTAGCATGGCATTGCTCAGATTTGAAGGCGTGGTCATTTTTGTGTAGACCATTCACTTCCACTCTAAATGCATTATTCTATCTCCAGTCAAAATGTGTTCATCCTAAGTGCCAAACATCATATTGCATGTTGTCATGATACGATGAGTCAGGGTAGAATATGATGTGACGTCCACATAAGATCTTATAGATTAGGTGGTCATATCATGAAAAATCTACAATTCTGGGATCAGGCCCATTATTAGAGTAGTGTTGATTTCCGAAATAGATCACAATCCCCCAAACCCCTAACTTCGACAGCAACAAACTAGATTTTGAAACAATCTACCATGTGTAGACTGAATCGCAACCTCTTGGGTTATTGTTGGGCGATCAGTTGAATAAAACTCATCACCATACACTGACATCCTCGGTTATGAGAAAATGTTTGAGAGCATGATTAAGAGAAACTTATGAAGGATTCTTTTAATATTATAGAACACATGAGAATATCGCTGCCATCTTACAGAACTCTTACGACAGACTCAGCTGCAAGGTCTTGGATAAGATGCAAAAGAGCTTTTCTACTTCCAAATTTCTCTTTCTGCTAGCCCATAAGTACTACACATGACACTGAGCATCTTGAACCGTTTGGACCTTTCAGGTTACGGAGCCGTATCACAGAGCACATAGTAACAAATGGATCTAACGACAACAATGTAGCAGCGGTTTTTTTTAAATTATTGGCCTCCAAATTGACCTGCAAAGAAAATAGTGAAATGTAACACGAAGAATGTAAACAAAATAACTTTCAATGTCTCGACACGCATGGACACAATCACTGATAAAAAAGGATGTCGAGTCTGAGTTTGAAATTATTGATGCGGATGACTAGTAATAACATTAAAACTATGATTTACCGGACTCCAATTTATGAAAATTCACAAAAGCTTTTGTAAGGCTATATATATTGTGAGAACGAATACTTGATACCGTACGAATAAAATCAAGTGTAATCAAAAATTCAGGCTTGGAAATGGTCTCAACATGGAGAAAGTCTTCAAAAGGAACTAATTAAAATCGGGAAGTACAAACTGGAAAATTAAGAGGAACACTCTTAGAAATTAATAATAATTGGAGCCTGAACAAACTCTCATCTAAAGTAAAAGTCGGATTTTTAAATTCAAACGTTAAGACAGTTTAATTTTTCGACGGTAAAATTTGAAGGACTATCACTGTCATTATCGAAAAAGTACAGGGGCTGGTAAATATCCGTCCATGCAAGACACCCTAAGTCAGGGATCAGAAACCACATCACACTCCGGAGGAGATCGAACCAGTTATCAACTGAGAAGGAAGTCATAAGAAAGATGCCATGGTTGGATAGTTCAAATTACACGAAACATTTCTCAGTTTAATGACTGTAGTGTTTAGTTCTTTTCTTCTTACACTTCTATGCATTCTTCTAATTCTTATATAAATTCTTGAAATTGCCAATGCAACAAGACGTTTATGGCGTGATAGCTGCTTGTAGAATCCCTACTACTCTTAAAAATTTATTCATTAGGACCAGGAAGAAATCTGCCTCATAAATGTCAACTCTTTCAGTTGGTTAGCTAAGATATATTTACTGTGCCCTATGAAATAAAACCGTTGCACGTAAGTTACATGACCTAATAGATAACCTGTGGATTTCGAATAATCTAACAAGTTGCCAATCGTTCTGAATAGATTAAAACTTTTACGAGGCTCAATCAGGTGGTCGAATTTGAAGTGTGCATGATAAAATCCATGACATAAAACAATTAATTGAATGATAATTGTATGAATTATTCAACACAGCTTCAAGAAAATACTAGGAACTCAAAAGACTTTAGAAATGTTTACATAAATTGTTATTTCATGATTCATGAGCTAGAAATCGATATATCTTTAGCGACCGATCGATTGGAGAATACTTTCATTTCTTTCTGTTTCGTGGTAATGTTATCTTAAAAAAAGAGATCTGTGATTTATTGCAGTTCCGTAGTTTGAATCACTGACTGATCTGAATTAGATCATCTGGGCAAATCCGTGAGGCAGTTGTTTATCACAGGTAATGAGTGAGTAATGAGCTACATCATACAATGATTGAAGTCGTATACTAATACAGTTTCACGCCGTTTCTGTGGTCTATGAACTTCATGTTCACGCCTACGAATGCACATGATGATGACCCCCATACTGGGACTAAACACTCCTTCTGTGCTGCCACGTTTTTAGTGTTGGTCTTAGGAATGTGCGTTATTCAAATTATAGGTGTACATCTAGGTCATCAAGGTCAGTAATGTTGTCGGTTTTTCACAACCCACTTATAACTAAGACCTCATAAAATATATTTTTTTTGACTAGTTCTCGTTCACATAATTATTTGCCGTTAAAATTAAAAACCAGTATCTTCATTTCTTGCAAACTATGTTATTTTCGTAATTGCTTCTTCAGTCTTCAGTAATAACGATAGGAGCTCTATCGACCTATATTAATCCTTGCAGTTTGTAATACTGTGGAGGTCCAACCTCGTTTTGAATATGTTAACAGACGGTGCCGATATTACGTGAATTCCAGTAATTCACTACTCGGTGCGAGAAACGGAACTCTAGACGTAAACGGTTTGATCTCGGTTTTTGAACTTTCTTCGAATGTCCTCTCAAATGACCAGTCCTAGACGGAAGTAAAAGATAAGACATGTTAATACCAAGGTCATCGTCCAGTATACGATAGGCCAATATTAGATCACCCCGTATTCTACGGTAAGATAACGGAAATAAGTTAAGTTGTCTCAGTCTGTCTTTATAAGATAGGCCAAATAGACCTTGTACCGTCTTAGTAGCTCGTCCTTGGACTCTTTCTAGCATATCTGCTTCGTACTGGATACAAGGACACGCTGCTTGAATTCTGTATTCTAAATGTGGTCGCACATAAATCGGGTATAGTAATCTAAACATTTCATCATCTAAATACTGGAAAGACCTACGAATTGACCATAATACCCTATAGCTTTTTGCAGCAGCAGCCTTACAGTGACTAGTGGTTTTGAGATCATTGCTTAATATGACTCCTAAATCTTTATAGTTTCTTGCTTCGTGTAGCAGGAATCCACGCAGTGTATAGTCATACGATTCATCAGAGTTATTTAATTTCATCACTACACTCTTATTAGGATTTACTTCTAATGACCACCTGTCTAACCATGATACCAACGAGCTAAGATCGTCCTGTAATACTGTTCTATCCGAATTACTATGTATAGGTCTCCAAATCTTTATGTCATCAGCGAAGAGTAGAACAGATTATTTTGCTACAGCTGGCAATCCATTTACATAAAGTAAAAAGAGAAGAGGACCGAGGATTGTACCTTGGGGAATTCCACTTTTTACAGGTACCCACGAGGAGAGAGCCCCATTAACACTTACCCTTTGTCTCCTGTCATGGAGAAAGTTACTTATCCAATCGACGACTGTATAATGGATTCCAGAACGTTCTAGTTTGAATTTAGGACCAGAGTGGGAAACCTTATCGAAGGCCTTACTTAAATCTATGAAAATCACATCCACAGGAACATTCCGATCTTTTGCAGCAGCCTAATCTTATCGTGCAATGAGATTTGTCAAGCAAGATAAGCCTTTCCGAAAACCATGTTGTGCCCTAAAGAAAAGATTTTGCCCTTCAACATAGTTTATAACAGCTATCCGAATGATTTTCTCCATCAGTTTTACAACTGCACTAGTTAAGCTAACGGGTCTATAGTTACTAACTAAATCCCTACTTTTAGCCTTATACACCGGACTTATTATGGCGTCTTTCCAGTCTCTAGGACGTCTGGACTGTCTCAGAGACTTGTCGAATAGTATCGCTAATGGTTCAGCAATTTCATCTGATAGGGCTTTCATAATCCTAGGATGAATATCATCAGGACCACTGGACTTATCAGGTTTGAGATGCTGAAGTAGCCTTAAAACAGTATCTTTCTCAATGACTACAGGATTCATCAGCGAGCCGTCACGGCCGCGATGAATCGTTGGTCGTTCCTCATTACCGATAGAAAACACTTTACTAAAACATTCCGATAAAGCTTCAGCTTTTTCGGCATCATTCTCTGTTAAGATTAACGGATTATCTCGTATCAAAAATGATGGAACTCCATCGCTTCTCTGATTTCGCCTTTTTATATACGAGAATAACCGTTTCGGATCCTATCTAGAATCCCTAACCAATTGTTTTTCGTATGATAGTCTAGTCTTGCTTATTAACGCTTTACAGGCATTCCTAATCTAACAATAACTGGATCTGTAATTTTCTAAGCCAGTAGAGATGAACATATTCCAGTGATTTTTCCTTTTTCTAAGGAATTTCCTGGCCGTTTTAGTTATCCATGGTGGACTGTTATTCGGTCTTCGCGGTGCCAGGTATGGTATGAACGGGGACGTAACTAGTCTAAATTTACCTTTAAATACAGACCATGCTTCTTCAACTGATATGCTAGTATCTACTAACCAATCTGTCTTAGCAGCGCATTCCTGAATGGCCGATATGTCAGCTTTCCATACATTTGGGTGAGGTGTAACCTGATCGTATAACATGTCCCTAGTTCTAAACGCGAATGACAAAACAGCGTGATCGCTGTTCACTAACTGTGGGAGAATATTTAAGTCGACAATATCCTCGGTCTCATGAGTGATTACCAAGTCCAGCAGAGAAGAACCCTAGTTAACACCAAAACGTGTGGGTTGGGATACATGCTGCACTAGTGCATGCTCCATTATTGTTATCAGGAACCTACTATCAAAGGAGTTTATAGATCCTGCTGTGGTCATATCAGTCCAACTAATATCAGGTGCGTTAAAGTCTCCTATTATCAAGCTTCTGGTATTTTCACTCCAAAGGTGAATGTGCTCTAAAATAAAGTCATCAGCTAAGCGGATCGGGCTGCGATATATGACACCTAGCATAAATGTACTACATCCTATAGCCAACTTACAGTTAATGACTTCACAAGTACCGCTATCGTGGAATTCGCTAATAGATGAGTGGATATTTATGCTATTGGCTATATATAACAGGACGCCGCCTCCTTTTCTACATCTATGTCTATCACTCCTGATGTAATGGTATCCGGATAATTCTGGAGTAATGTCTAAGTCATAGACTATGGCACTTTAGTGGATTCAGACACTGTTCATGCACAGTAAAACTGCAAACTGCCTTATGCACACCGAATGATTGGCATAAACCAAACGAACTATTTTTATTCCTGGAAACGTGTATCTGTGTGAATTCTAAGGATATGATATATTTTCGAGTTGTAGCTTGCAATTAAGTATAAGATATCATATTTAGCACCTCAATTTCATAATGTACTTATTTTGTTTTCAGTTCTGAGTTGACGGCGTTGGCTTGTTTATATGTATATGTACGCATAACTATTCTGGTGATAGTGAATCATTTATATACAGGGATTTCTTAAATAATTCGTCTTTTTTACATAGCTTGTTCATCTAATGTTTCCAGAAATGTGATAAAAACATTTTTGTAGTAACACAAAATTCTAAATTAACTCTTCATCTGTTTTCAGACAGTCCTCATAATTTTAGTTACACGGATTCCTAACAAGTCTCGAAATATCTCATTATGTTTTAGTTAGTGTTATTTTTTGTGATCTTATAAACACTACTTGATATATAAAAAGTACACCCTATGCTCGGTTTTCGTTTGATTGCATTCCTGATATTTTCTGCTTCGGTTTATTGCGAAAATTTTGATGAAGAACTTCTCATCAAAGATCTTGGTCATGGATATACAGCATTCCATTTCAATTTTGCCGCTACAACTTCAGAGTCTATTTTCCATTGTAAGTTCTATCAATGTCTTGATAAATTCTGATTTAGCAAAGCACTATAACATTCTTCCAAAACCCATCATTCAAATCCTAAAAAAATATAATGTTGATGAATTTCACCTTTCTATCTCAAGAGGGATATGGGATGAACGTTGGGGTAGTAACTTTATTTCAGTTTCCCCTTCTGGAGCTGAACTATGGGCATGGTTTGGAAATCAAACTACCAGGTAATCCTTATACTTAGTTCAGCTTTTAGTGTTGATCAATCATGGTTTAAATTAACACATGCTCTTTCGGGATTTTTCTGTGCTTCTTTAAACCGACTATCTACAAATGAACATTTTGCCTCTCCGATCCACTCTTACAAGCCATCTGGAGTACCGAAGTTCAGTAGAGTTTCTAGGGAGGTTAGATATTCTCAGCTACCTGGTGAGGCTTTGTGCAGTGAGAATTTGACTCCATGGACTAAGTACTTACCATGCAAATCATTTTCCGGTTTGGGAAGCTTGTTGCGTTCAACTTCACTGTTTAAGTCAAATTACAACACCATGACTATTGGAGTTAGACGAGTGTGTTTGGTAAGCCTTATTTGTAATATATCATTACTACTCAGGATTTAGAATGTCACGAAATCGGGCTAGAGCTAATGGAAACCCTGACGGTTGTCTTTGACAGAAGTTTGTTGTTTGCGAAAAGAACATGTAAGTGGAATTTAAAATTACTACACTGTATATGTTAACTAGTGATATACAACCTATGTTTTCATTTCGTATGTAGCTATCCACTGTGCATAATACCTTACGATTTGCAGATTTTTTCAAACGAAACGACCGAAGTGTTTTGCTCATTTCGAGTGTTCTCCATCTAACAAAATATCTCAGAGTCAAAGTAATACATGTTTTTATTTACAGCAAGGCCTTCCACTTATGTTTTATTACCTGTACGTCAATGCCTTATTATAGATTATAAATTTGTAAATTGCGATATCGAGTTGCGATTAGTCATTTTATCTCATGACCCTACAACCTTCCGTAACATCCTTTCCTAATAACCATTCACAGCGTTATTCATTTTGCACCTCAAGTTTCGCTTGGCTTCTTGTTATTGTATTGCTTGCAATTATTTTATTCATGCAACATGTAATACAAGTAATGAGATCAAACCATTCATATTGCTTTACTTATGGATTACATGTAACTTTTTAGATAATATATCAATCTGTTCATTTTATTGGAATTTCATGAACACGAATAAACGTTCCTGTTCATATTCTGTAACTTTGTCATTTGGAAATATTTAAATTATGTTATATACTTTTTATCCTCTTTTAGTAAGGACAAATGTATGTATCAGTTGGTTCACACTTAATTGACATGAACAGAAGAATAACATAAAAGAAATAGCCTAAATCACATAGGTTATTGATGTGATATAGTATTTCGGTTTAGTGGCTATTAGTTCAAAATTAGTTCGATAGGAATTATCCCTAGTTGTACATTAATATTACCAATAAGAGACTAGCAACTTGTCAATTAGCTCACATTATAAAACTTTATTTAATACGAACTTCATTTGGCCTAATCTTTTAGTGTTTATTTCATTCATATGTATCATTTAATTTGATATATATTCTCAGCTCCTTGGTCTATCAAAAGTATCCTTGGTTCGGAATTCAAAGGATTATGCGATGCAGCAAACACTAGTCGCGTGTTCATCCTTACTTCAAATGAAGATATGAATATCCCTTTAGATGATAAACTGAAAGTCGACTGTTTGGATAATCGTGTTCTAGCTGCGTATTCGACAAAAGATCTATCTGCACAATTCACATCCTTTCCTTTCAAGACTAGTGGGAAAGAGTCCTCTCCAGAGCATTCATCTCTTGTTTCAGCTACCAAACATATCACTGGTTCTGGAAGTGTAAGGGGTGGAGTCAAAGCTTTCCTGACTAGTAGAGCTAATTTCAATTTAAAGATAGTTTATTTTGATCTAATTCCGTGGTACACACAAGTTTTTTTCAGTTCCTTAAAAATCTACGGTTTGGATCCCAAAACACAAAACAAAACACTGATTACCCCAAGTAAGTCGATATGAATTGATTTGCAGTAATCATGTTCTATATCCAATTCTTTGTAATGCGTAGTTGGTAACAAAATTTGATGGAAATCATTATCATTTTAATGCTTTCTTGTTTATATTCAGTCAAGTTACTGTTATTATCAGTGTCATGTCTCTTCTGTTTTATAAGGCCTTTTGTTTTCATAATATTGTCAAGAGTGAGAAACCCTCTTACAAAATGCACTCATATAACAATATAACTACATAATAGTTTCTAAGGAAGCTCTGTTAACTGTCTTCGTGTAATAAACTATTTTTCAGGAACTTAGGTGATGGACGTTTTTTAGTGCTATAATTGTTAGACTATAAATAACAGCTATTTCCAACTGGAAGTTTGTCATTCTTTATTTCAGACTAAATACAGGGTGCATACCGTAAATGGTTATTTCCTATCACGGTAGTGCAACTTTTGGTAATACTTCGTTGTTGTCTGCCCCCAAATGCCGCGGTACGACCAAAGGTGAGGAAAGTCCGCTCCCTCTTTCGAAATATCCTCACAAAGCCTCGCGTATACAGCCACTCAGAAAAGTCCTACTCAGTGCCTTCTCGCGGTGAGAATATTATTTGCGACATTGGAAGGATGAAACGCGAACGTCTAATGCTTTAACCGGGTTGGTGGGTATGGAGGATTCACCTTGAGAACTGGTAACTGCCGGAAGCTGTTTCAACTCACCCAAGTCACCAGCAGCAAGGAGTCTGGTGTGAGTGAAACTATCTGTGAAGCTGATGGGATTTCGTACCCCTTTATACCAGGGTTTGTTTATCTAAATGTCTGAAAATGGTAGCTAAGTCACAAGCATAATTTCACAATCTGAATTATTTGTGCAATTGTTTTTTATTTCATGCATTCTATGAACGTTTTATCTATATCTAACACTTAAATTATTTCTTATCCTTTCATTGTACTAGATCGAATGAGATTTTTGTAGTCGTATGCAGTTTTATACTTCGTTAATATTCATGTTTATCCACCAGTCTTTCTTAAATCATTTTAGTGTTTGAATGAAATACGTTTATTTACTTTGACAGATTGGTTGGCAGTTAAACCAAGCTTGGCTAGGAAACGTATGGGCAGTATTGAATTAGTAATCACCTTGCCTGCTCTTAATCAGCTAATCATTACTTATGAGTTTCGAAAAGTTTTACAACGCTGGAATGAATTTCCTCCCGACGCCAATCATGGCTTTTTCCTTCCTGCAGCAACTGTTTCGTATGTTTTAAATAGCGAACAAATAGATTATTTAAACAAAACAAAGCATACAGCATTCCACAATCTAAATCTCCCGAATTGGGCCAGTAGTTACAATCAGTTCTTGTAAGTTACTTACCTATTCATAGATCCCCTAGCTTGTGCTTTTAATATCTCAAGATAATTCATTGTTTTTATGTTCAGTGTGCTCAAATAGATAAGATCTATTTCCCACCAATTTCATGGCTAAAAAATCGGAAACTAGGTAGTTTTAAGGAATAAGTCCAATATTACCCCCAGTAGTTATCGAACCTGGATTTCTCTGTTCACCTGTTACAAGTTACGATAAATGCTAACCGGAAGTGTTCACTTTGGTGAAATTAGAATTCTCCATACTCATGTACTAAAGTATCTACGAAATTCGACCAGTTTGTAGATGAATACGTTTGCATTCGATTTCCAGTGATCAGTTTTATGCTGGTCGCAAACCTCTCCCGATATAATCTATGGAAGTAATCAGATTACTGATGAATTTCTATGACCTGTGGACGATAGAACTGTCAACTTCACTCCGTGTTTGAAGTCTGATAAAATACCTAATGTTGATTAAAAGTCCCGCGTTTCACCACCATGCAAGAAGTAGATGATTATGGAATCTTTACTGAATCTTACCATTTTAAGTAAGAACTGTTTTCATCCAAAAATAGGATTTTATAAGTGGCACTTACTTCAATCAGCTGTAGATTAAAAATAATCGTATAGCTTTTGTGGAAGTTGTATTTCACTATCTAGTTTTGGCCGTAAGTTTATTTAGGAACACTACGGGGATGGATGTTACTTGGATAACCCGAAATGTTCACTTAGTTTCACAGTTTTCATGTAGGAAACTCAGCAATAATACAAGCTAATAACAAAACACTAGGTTATTTGGAATAATCATAAGAATCAAGACGATGGAGATGTTCTATCAAGTTGTATAACAGGAAAAGTGTGGATGAAGAGAGTGATAGGATCTTGTAATGCAGAAGTCAGACTAACCCAGCCCGGACACCAATTCAATAGTAATATACAAGTACGCCATCGACATGTTAAAACTATCTTTTAAAATATATCATTGTTTGTTTTCTTCTTTCTACCAGCAATACAACTCATCCTGCACCTCAGGATGGTTTTGTTCGTCTACACACTCCTGTATCTCTGGTCACAATGCCAACACCAGATTTCAGTATGCCATTTAATGTTTTGTGTTTGGTTTGTTCAGTCGTTGCTGTTGTGTTTGGGTCCGTTCACAAGGCTACGACGACCGTTTTCAACGTCACTTTTCAAAAGAATGCCAGCGACTCAATACTAACACATCTAATAGACCACATCTTAACTAAGAAGAATACTTCAAAGACAATGAGTGAACAGAATATATCAACGAGTGCTCCAAGCAATCACGATAAAAATGACTGATTTCGTTGAAAATAATAATCATATGCTTAAGTATCAGAACCGTGCTACACATATTTTGTATTTGACGTCGTTTTTGTAATAAAATCATAGAAACTAAAATACCCACTTTTTGTAACCTTCTTCACAAAAAGCAATCTACACAAAAATGAAACCGTTATACTAAATATGTAACCCATCAATGTATTTAAGAGCAGAGTTGCTTCACCGAACTAAAAGTTTTATTTTAATATTTACATTTATATAGGTCGATACTAATAGACAGATATTTCAATTTCAAGGGATCAAAGTACAAATATATACATCAGGTACGATTATATAAACGTAATTTATTTTAGTGAACTCTTTCCTGGGTTATGGTCACTATACCTGGAAGTGTGCAGAAGCCTTGTCTGACTTTCTGGTGAAGTATCCTGAGGAAGTCAGAGGGCTTCGAGTTCTCGAAGTTAGGTTTTGTTCAATAACACTGATATATTATAGCTCGGTGCTGGCACAGGACTTTGTGGAATCACTGCAGCTATTCTCGGGGCTCTTCATGTTCGATTCACTGATAAAGACATGACATATTCGGATAAACTACATCTTAATGCTCAACTGAATGGAATCAGAAATTATGATTTTACTCCATTAGATTGGAATTATCCCCTCGACTGGTCAGGTGGGATCTTCGATACCATTTTAGCATCTGATTGTTTGTATGATAAGGAAGGTGAGTCCATCATTCTAGTCTCATTTTTAGTATATGAACCGTTTTTGAAGACTGCAACTTTACAACTAAGGGTAAATAACAATGCATCTTTACTTCTTTCTTTCGAAAATCGGAGGTAGCCTCATTTAAAAAAGCTTATGTATAGCAGTTCTTTTACAGATCTTTCAGTTTTGTTTAAGAAATATGGTCTCAAGGCCGATGTTCTAACTACACCTAGTAATTCGTTCAGAAATATCCATTTATTGCGTGTTACCTCTATTCAGCAATAAAATATCATTCCGTTGTGTTTTTTTTCTGTGTATGAACTTGGTAAATATGTTTGTTCTGAATGAGTTTTTTTCACCTCTGAAGTGCACTCCCGACGTAACTTAACCTGTTTATAAATAAATAGGATTATGTGGATTACACTAGTGCTGAAGTTTTAAAATCATTTAGTTTTGATGTGGATATTCCATGTACCTATACAAATTGTTGCGCTTGTATCACGAGGCAAGCGCTAACTTAGAATCCTGAAGAGAAAAGGGAAAAAGGTAAACTAAAGAACATATTGCGTCGGGAGTTGGAAGCAGACATCAAAAAATGAATAGCAGCTGGAAAGGGTTGCCCAGGACAAAGTTCGGTCGAGAATGTTGGTGGGCAGCCTATGCTCCTCCACAAGGGGTGACAGGCGTAAGTACTTTTGATATACGTAACACATAGACAAAAATACTTCGTTAGAAAAAATCTATAACCGACCGAGTTTAACGTTCTGTAGTTAAATGATGCACACGTCAATAATCTTGTTTCATTCCAATTATCGTATACTAAGAAAGTTCGTCTTCAGTTTTCATTGTGTGAACACATTTTGACAGATTTCCATAGCATAATCAAGTTTTCAGAATGGCTATTAATGGTCAGTAACTACAAACCGATAAAAGTTGTAGCCAAGCAAGTGTTTGGATATCCTGTGGTTCGGATTTCATTTGTAGGGATAAGATATCGAGAAGAATGTTTCACTTTATTCGGATATTGAAAAGGACTAGTAGATTGATAGTCTCTAACTTCATTTTCCAATAGAGAATTAAATGACAGTCTAATCCCGAAACACAATAGGGATTATGGTTATTTACTGTTGACGGGGTTCTAAGGCTTAACGCTACTCCGGATAGTGGCTGAGCGCCAGTGGAGTTACTCATGAAACATGCACTGAGAAAATTTGAAAACAAACAAAAACTGGATATGCACGGCCATACTTAACTGAAAAGCCTCAAGTGGTTTACCCAGCTAAGAAATTTTGATTTTGTGACTTAACGACAACACCCCATGTTGTAGTGCTCATGAGTTGTCAACTAAATGATTTGAAATGTACTTTACGAATGCCAGAATATGATGTAAGCTAGTGTTTGCTATTGTACACACAAAAATAAAGCTTGATGAGTTAGTTAGCTTAGTGTAAAAAATTTACCAGCAGCGACCAGGGTATGTGCGAAAAGACTTGTTAAATATGAACAACTGTAATGTGACAAATGTTGAAGTAGATACAAAAGTTAGTACTCAATTACCGACCCATAGTTCCCATCAAAAAACAGTGAAAATAAGTATGTATGTGCTTTTCACTGAACTACTTGATTAAAGACATGCGTATTTGTTCTTTTGCATTTTGGATAGCCTGTATGTTGTGAAAAAGAAGAATTTTATGTATTTTGGTTTTAAAAACAATTGACTAAAAATTATCTAGTGAAATGAACACAGCAAGGTTGTCGTTCACGCTTGTACTGATGTTACATGGGAACTTTGGTCCACACACATCTGTGCTAGGTTTTATGTTAAAGATGAGTGATTATGATCTAGTTAGCGAATAGACTTGACCTGGTTAAAAGCAAACTTTGTGGCAGTTTTTCGGCAGACATGTGGCTCAAACAACTATTTTTAAACTCAAGAACTGGTACATTTACTCAACACACTGCTTATGAGAAGCAACATTTGTTGTGAATCTACACCAGTAACAGACGACTAGAAAACCAAACTGAAAACCTTCCGTCAATATGTTGGTGGCCTTTCACTGCAATAAAACAGGCTTTTTCAACAGATGAAAAACCATTAGTGTTTAACAGCATATCACATTGTCGGTTTTTGTATATTAAGGCTTATTTTTCCACTTTATCTTATCATATGAGACCAAATCATGTAAAAGTAGTGACTAAAGGAATCGCACTTAGAGGTACATCTACAACGAAATTATGTTAAACATAGACTGACCTACTAAACGTAGATACTGGCAAAAAGAAGCTAGAATTACCTGTGCTACCGTTTGCTCTCCAAGTGGGATATCGTCTGTCCTTGCACCAACTCGAGACACTAAGGCGGTTGCGTCGGACTCTAACAGTATGCTTTAAAGAATATATTAATTTATTCCACTATTTACCCATTATGGCACAGTTCATCAACTATAAGGAAAATTAAATCTAGATTATCCATCAATGTTTTCTTTTCGACTGATCGTTTCAGAGCTTGACTGACAGAATCGTACAAGCACTGCAGGGCACTGACGAGTAATAACTTACAAAATGAAAGATCCATTACGTGACTCACTTCATTTTCGTTAGCATCCCCAACAACATAAAAGTAAAGATCGCCCACGTTACGATAAACACATGTCGCGCCGTCCAGCAACGTGATTTCCGCTGGAGAATTGAAAGAGCAACGAACACTTATACTGATTCGACCAAAATAAGACATACAAACAATTATGATTGGAGTAAAACATTAAGGCAATGAGAATCTTTGGTGATGATAAGAACTTTTCCATATTGATTAACAAATAATATATCAATTTCAAAACGACTACTTTGATGTCCTCATACTGCCATAAGAATTTTATCAACAGAGGTTATTATAAAGAAATGATTTTTTATCGATTGTGCAAACGCATCTCTTAAGCATAAAAATCAACCTGAAATTAAAGGTAGTCAATGGGCTTTATTAACCAAATGTATTATATATATATATGCCTAGTCACAGCTCACCTCGACAGGCAATGTTTCCTGGTTTAGGAGAAGGTTGAAAGAAAGCTAGGGGTTCTGTGACATTTGGTTTGTGTCATGTTGGCAGATACGGGCTACCTGGTTTAGGCCCATGTGCTTATTTTAACCAACAGCTATAAGCTGGATGACACAGATGTATTCACTCTATCTTTCAACTTCTCATTTCGGCATCTCAATGCACACTTTTTCACTGTAATTACTACTACATTATTCCCGTCCATTTTGCTATGTACCTTGTTAAATTCATTATGGTGTGCTGGTGATGTGTAATAACTTGGGGCAGTGCAAAACTGTTTTAGGCTCTACGTTGATGATAACTGATGTATACATGTATATAGTAATCCGAAAAACAAAGTGCTATTTCGTTTGATCATTAGTATGGTGAGTTTCAGCCAGAGAGCTGACCATATCGTTTTAAGTACATATAAATGAGTACATAAACGAAATGTGGATATTTAATTTTAGGTACTCTAGAAGGCACAAAATCGGTTCATTTTACGTGAACAATTTTTGAAACAGGAGCTTTATTCTAATCAAACGATAAAAAAAATTCTCCCTAACATTTCACGACGGCAGAAAAAAGCAGAACTATAAAAAAGGGTGCGACAAACTTGGAAACATTCCATGTCCAGATACTAAGAATCAGGTAACTCGAAAATGTTTGAACTAGTACTTCATAGTATTGGAATTTTTAAATAAAAGTGCTTAACGCTACTTTGTAACACTGGATTCTTTCAGTGTACATAAAAATGTAGTCAGTAACAGTAATCATTAGATAAGTTGGAGTCGAGTACACCCGAGAGTCATTGAGCTGTATCTGATTCTTAGGAATCTTGAAGGTCACTGGTTACAGCTTTAATTCATATCAAAATGCAAACACTAGAATGTTGAGAAGTATAGAGGATATTTCGGACTGACCACCTCAAAAGACTTGTTCAACTGCTTTATATCCAGATCCTCATCATTTGCTATCTCAGACTGTCGACTTGCCTACTAAAACACGATAGCTTGGTTACTATGTTAAAACTTCCAAAATGAGATTAGATATTTGCAGTACTGCGAATTACGAGAATTGCTTTAGGTTCCTTAGACTTTTATACTTGTAATTGCTAGGGGCGAACTACGAAGACGGTAGCTGCTATTCCCAATGGTTTTGGTTTTTGACTACTAGCACGACTAATTAACACTATTTCTGTATACTTTTACCTTGATGGGTGTGAAACGGAATGAACCACTACCAATAAAAAATGATAAAGGAGTAGATGGTTTTAATTCGTAGTTGAACCTGTCACAAACACATTAAAATGAAACTTATTTTGAAATGCTAGTCAAAATATGTTTTCCACACTGATTTTGAAGGTACCAATTATATTTTAAAAGACAGTCTAAATGATATTCGAAACCAGACTCATTATGATAATTAACACAAAAATATAATAAATCAACGAAAATTTACCGCCATTAGTTTTGCTTGTTTTTTTGAAGAGTTTCGACTCGAATTCGAGTTGGAGCTTAACAGTTGGAAACGATGAGTCATAATACTACAAAATTAAGGTTTGTTTGATATACTAACTGAGCTACCTTCGTTAAAATGCGCTTCCCTTCACTATCTAAGATGAGTATGCTATTAATAGAATATAAGGATGGCTCCTTTGAAAATGTCGAAAATCAGTAAACATACCAGGAGCATTGTAAGCGATAAAAGCGATGGTTGGCAGATGTCAATTAATCCGCTTCCTATTGGTGACCTAGACAAATGGTTGTTGACGGAATAGAAGAAGCTTTCACTTAACAGGCTTCCGTGTCTAGTAGCAGGGGTCACCAAATCTTCCAGGCAGGAACCTAGGTATGTTAACAATAAAACAGGATACGCAACCAAGACGATACACAGGCACTTCAGGAGGATCTGATTCGACTTTAAAGTTGGGTAGACGATAACGGACTTACCTTTAACACTTCAAAGTGTAAAGTAGTCCATCTGAGACATGTCGCGAACTACAGTTACAACTTAAGAAACTCCTCTCTAGTAGTATCTAAAGTCGAAAAAGATTTAGGAGTCCTGGTGCCCCATGATTTAAAGTTTCACGGTAACTGTGACAAAAATGCCTTCCGAGCAAACCTTGCACTGGTAACGTTGAAGTGCATTTTTGGCCAGTTTGACGGAAGAACTTTCCATGCAATCTTCAATAGTTTTATCCGTCCCCATTTAAAGTACGGAAACATGGTACTGCCCCCTCACTCCAAAAGGACAAGGTCACTTTGGTGCGTATCCAACGGCGAGCCACGAAATCAGTTCGAGGACTCAAATCCAAGCCTTACGAAGAACGCCTCCATTAACTAGACCTTTACCCATTAGAGTACAGGCGTCTTAGAGGTGATTTATTAATGGCTTATAGTATTCTTAACACTTCTGGACATCCTCTTAAACACCTACTTAAGCTTAGTTCGAATAATAACCTAAGGGTTAACACCCAGAAACTGGGAACTCAACATAGCAAGACGGAATGTAGACACAACTTCTACTCCTTAAGAGTTGTCAAAAGCTGGAATTCGCTGCCGGCCGAGCTAGTCCAAGCAACTTCTCAGGAGTCCTTCAAGAGGAACTTGACCTATTCTTAAGGACCAAGGACAGTATCACACTATGATTTACCAATTTCTTCTCCTCTTTTATTGTTAACATACCTAGGTTCCTGCCTGGAGGTTTTGGTGATCCTCTGCTACTAGACACGGAAGCCTGTTAAGCGAAAGCTTCTTCTATTCCGTCCACAACCATTTGAACTTATCTGCAACGCAACCATGTAAACTTAATGTATCGCCCAGTGTAATAACGGTCATCTGTGCGTTCAAGTAACCACAGATTTTGTCATTTCATAATGTATTTTTAATTAAATAACTAGATTATGTACTTAATTTTTCTCTTTTTAAAATTTTTATTCGCCACATCTGACTGCGTTACACTGCACGTCCATTGCATTCTGGGATGGTATCTCAAGTCATAGTGAGTTCAATCACATAGTTTATTGTTCCCAGATAGACCGTCAATGCATGATGTTACTGAAGAAATGTTTGTTGTACTGTAGACTATGTTTTTGTGAACAACTGACTGTTGTCTTCAGTTTGAAAGCAATATATATGTATCCTTCGTCTTCTGTTAGGTAAGTTCAAATGGCCTTTATTTCGTGTTTTGGTTTTATCGGATGAATTATGATCATTTTACTCTGTTGAGCAACATGTCTGTGCAAATGGAACAATAAATATGACACTTGCTTAGTTTAGTATTCTTGGTTGCCGTTATAATTTAGATTAGTCGACATAACTATAGTGAGGATGGCACAGGTATTCAGTGTTTGAAAACGCTTTTACCAGCAACACCTTCTAATATAATTTGTACCCACCAAGAGAAATCAAAAGACAGAGTCGAGGAGATCGGAAGAGTGCATTTGGCGATAACCAATATATCGGAATTCTTTGATCTAATCGGACTAGCGATTGCGGTAGATGTTAAGCACAGCGTTACCACACGTGATCTGATGCAGATGCATGACCGATCGCCTTCAGCTAGATGAGTCCACTAAAACATATGGTCAGCATCCAGTGTCGAAAACTTACAGAGCTATTTATTTTGGGGATTTATTTTCCGCTACAATAGTATACTTAAGTATAGTGCTTAAACCTGTAACGAAACGAATCAGTTTAGTAAGTAGAGCTGCCTGTTTTTAGTGAGTATATTGATTCAAGTCAGTCTGATTAAAAATAGGAAAAAAACGTGCCTTTGATGTTGTTGCTGTCATATATTATAAGATAGCCTTAAGTACGTTTGGTGTTTATTTCTAGACTGTACATTTATCACTGACCATATTTCATGATCACTGTCATTAAACAATTTCCCCAGCAATAACATCGGTAGCAGGATAACTAAGTGTCTGAGATTTATTTGCCTGCAGAAGAGCAGTATACAGTCTTAGAAGATGAGTGTTCTGTGTCTCAATAAAATGTAGTTGGCTGTAGACAAATGTTAAGAATCTTTTTGTCAACTGGGAATTTTAGTTTATCAGACACTAACTTTGCTTGTATGTCTCCCTGTTAAACTAGACGCAGATGCATGGTAATACTTGAATGAGAGCAAAATAATAAAAGCTTTGAGATACGGTACTAAATTCATGTTTTGCTTTGCACAAGTAATAGCTGACCTGATCTAATATTCATGAACTCAAGGTAAATCACAGCTGCATAAATTCTTTGCTAAAATACATGTAATTTGGTTACTTATCTATTCCAAATTTCTGACTAAATTCATTACTATTTTCTCATTTAGAATGCAACAAGAGTGTGCCTCCACAGATCCTAAGAACTGTTTCACCCTTAGAACTACGGCCCTATGAAACTGTTTATGGGAGACCCAACTAACAGCAGATTATAAAAAGGATGCTGGATGTCCATTTTAATCTCACAACCACTTCCAGTACTTTTTGAGTTACTTCTTTTACCCTTTCGTTTGGAAAAAACAACAAAAGCTTGAGCTTAACATTACCAATGCAACTTTTAAACGGGAACATGGTTTAAACCTTTGTTTGATATTCGATTCTTGATGAAAGTTTTCGAATAAATTTTTGAATCTAGTGCTACTTTGTTTTATCTACTTAATCGTTGCAAGAAACTTGTGATACACGAGCCTCTCAACACCTAATTCATGTGTTCAAGCTTCCGTGTCTAGTAGCAGAGGATCACCAAAACCTCCAGGCAGGAACCTAGGTATGTTAACAATAAAAGAGGAGAAGAAATTGGTAAATCATAGTGTGATACTGTCCTTGGTCCTTAAGAATAGGTCAAGTTCCTCTTGAAGGACTCCTGAGAAGTTGCTTGGACTAGCTCGGCCGGCAGCGAATTCCAGCTTTTGACAACTCTTAAGGAGTAGAAGTTGTGTCTACATTCCGTCTTGCTATGTTGAGTTCCCAGTTTCTGGGTGTTAACCCTTAGGTTATTATTCGAACTAAGCTTAAGTAGGTGTTTAAGAGGATGTCCAGAAGTGTTAAGAATACTATAAGCCATTAATAAATCACCTCTAAGACGCCTGTACTCTAATGTTAGAGGTTAAGTTATTGGAGGCGCTCTTCATAAGGTGATTTGACGCATATCTTCGTCATTTTCTTGGGAATCCTACAGAGTCGGGTCCTTTCACATCTTATTCTAGGCAACATGAATTGCCACGGCAGCTGATGGATGGACACGCGTTACACATTTTAACCGTCCTTGCGTCTAACCTCATAGCTTCTTATTCAGATGTCATATGATAAGCAAGTAATGCCTCTAACAACACTAATGGAACACGAGTAACTCAAAGGCATCCTGTGTGGTACCTTACATTGGTCTACACACTCACTTAGCTCTTTAGTGAGAATATTACTACAGTCCTGCTAAAAATCCCATGAACCCCCCTACCTCCATTAAAACAAATAAGTCTGTATTTGCTGCATACAGCAATTATATTTTTCAGAAGTAAAATATAACAGTTAGAATAAGAGTAAAATGACAGTATACAGTAGATGCATGTGGTATATGTCTTCATCGATTAACTGAAATAGAGAGTACGGATATTAGCTTAACAGGCTTATTTAAAAAGACCAGTGTCTACTTTGAACTTACTGCGTGAGAAAGTTATACTGCAACTACGAATAATGTAAGCATCTAGTCCCCTAGGGCGTACGAAGCACTCAAACTAGAAAACAGTTCTCCAACAAAAATCCGAATGTGAAAGTGAAATTTTGCAGGTACTTTTCATCGTAAGGGTGAACATATTCAGTACCGGTTGAAGTCATACCGTAAAAAAACACATATTTGCGAGTGGTGAAATATGATCTATAAGACAGTGAGCTTAACAACAGTTAATTACCTTTTTACTGCCTGATTATGACCATTCGGCTCCCTTTTATGGCCAAAACAGCAAACATACATTACATACTGATAGCAGATTTTCAATGTTAAGCTTGCTTTAGCGCACAACGTAATGAGTAAAACCCATCTATTACTGCTACATGATACATTTTTCATAACAAACCCTCTGCAATAGATTGGTAGCATCTGTGACTTCATATATGGTTATCGGAAGTCTGAGTTCTTTCGAAAACAATACTGGTATCCTTTACTGCTGGGCACTCTGTATAAGTTTGACTCGTTGGTGGGATAGTGTTGTCCATAGTACTGAAGAAAGTTTAAAACCGGAGATTGTTTCCTTTCATTTTGCCGATAACATCATAAAGGACAGTTAGGAACGAACATATGGACAGTTAGTCACAATCGGCAGCAGCAATTATTTTGGCTAAAAAACGAACTTCGGCTTTGGACATCTAAAAAACAAGTCAAAACAAAACCGATAAGACTAACCAGCTTGGCTGAAGAAGTACATTGACTTGAGTAGCAGCAGCCAAAACTCAGAAAGCCAAGCAAAATGAAGAAACATTTTACTCCAACATTCAGAGTATTACATTAACTTCTGCATTTTAGCAAACTGAAACATTAAATTCTGCAGCTACACAAAAGAAATAGCTGAAAAAGATACAGAACGAAGAAAGCCGGCCGCCATTGCTTACAAAGATGGCGGATATAATAATTCCCGCCTCATTTTGATTGGTTGCTAAGCTGAAGGGCACATTTACGAAATTGAGTTGCGTTTAATTGCAGCCTTCATAGATGAATCATTAGTAGGTACATACTGCACTTCTTCACGTAATAGTCTCTGAGAGCTAATCTTTTGTT